ATCAACTGCAATCCTTACATAAGGAGGTGACTGATGAAGAAATTAAAAATGCTGCCTTTGATATTGGGGCATTTAAAGCTCCTGGACCTGATGGCATTAATGCAGGATTCATTCACTCTTATTGGAAGGATCTTAAAGACAGCATCTTTAATCTGGTTAAAAAGGTCTTCAGAGATCCAAAGTCTATAAAGGAAATTAACAAAACTTTCATCACTTTGATCCCTAAGATTGATTACCCAACTTGCATGAAAGACTTTCGGCCTATCTCTCTTTGCAATGTGATCTATAAAATAATCACCAAAATTCTATCCACAAGATTACGTACTTGCATGAACCACTTAATTGGTGATTATCAAAGTAACTTCATTCAGGAACGGCAGAGCAGTGACAATATTATTATTGCTTAAGAAGTCATTCATTCTATAAGGAAAAAAACTGGAACAAAAGGTTTTATGGCCCTTAAGGTGGATCTCGAAAAAGCTTTCGACAGACTTTCATGGAACTTCATTGATGATACTCTTATATCTATTGGGATAAACAATCACTTCAGGAAATTAATTCTTGCTGCTATCTCTACCACTCGTATGAAAGTTCTTTGGAATGGTGAACCAACAAAAGAATTCACTCCTTCATGTGGCATTCGTCAAGGGAATCCTCTTTCTCCTTATCTTTTTGTCCTTTGTATCGAAAGTCTGAGTCACTATATTATTAGTAGTATCAATAGGAGTGATTGGAAACCCATTAGACTAACTCCTAATGGGCCTCCTATCTCCCACTTATTTTTTATTGATGATTTGTTACTTTTTGCAGAATTATCTCTCTCTCAAACACAAATCATTCTCCAATGTCTTTCTGATTTTTGCAACGCATCCGGTCAACACTAGCAAATCCAAACTTTTCTGCTCTAGAAATGTCAATTTTAACAGAGCTTTGCAAATTAGTGAAAATCTTGGAATTTCTCTCATTGGTAATCTAGGAAAATATCTTGGGATTTCTATCATTTACGAGAAAGTTACAAGGCTTACCTTTACGCCTTTAATTGAAAAGATGAACTCTCACTTGGTAAATTAGAGAAGTCGATATCTCAATATTGTAGGAAAATCTATTCTCATAAAATCTGTTCTATTAGCTCTTCCCAACTATACCATGCAAACCATGCTCCTGCCTGATAACGTGTTAGCAAAATTGGATAAAATATCCAAAAATTTTCTCTGGAACTCTTCTAACGGGAGGAAAAAAACCCTACCTTCTCTCTTGAGACTGCATCACTTCTGATAAAAAGGTTGGCAGTCTTGGTATTAAACATCTTAAAAGCCAAAATATTGTTTTTATTATGAAGTTGTGTTGGGGTATTCTCATTAAAATAAATTGTCTTTGGGTGAAGGTCTTGCAAGATAAATACAATTGCAGCATACCGACTATCCCTATGGTTGTTAAACCTAGTTCTTGCTCATATACCTGGAGTAGCATTTGCAAAATATGGGACAATTTCATGACTTTTATTGGTTGGAAAGTTGGGAAAGGAGACAAAATTTCCTTTTGGTATGATAAATGGACCTCTCTCCCTGATCCACTTATCAACCATGCCTTTCATAAAGCCGATTCTATTCTTCATGCGCGAGTTTTGAATTTCTGCAAACCTAATGGAGGTTGGAATTTAGATCTTATAAGGAGATACTTGTACCCGAATATTATTAATCATATTGCTCTAGTTCAACCTCTTAACACTCAAAGTGCAGAGGACACTCTTATTTGGAGACCATCTTCTGATGGTAACTTTTCTATTAAATTTGCCTACACTGTAATAGAAAATCGGAAGACTCAGGAGCACAATAATTTATGGTCCAAAATTTAGGAATGGCCTACTTATGAAAAGATCAAGTACTTCCTTTAGAAAGTAGCTTAGGATCGTCTACAGATAAATTTTATGCCCTCTAATGGGAACACTATGCAACAATGTACTTGTCAGCTAGGTTGTAACTCTCCTAACTCTTCTATTCATATTTTAAGAGATTGTAAAGATGCTAAGAAGGTTTGGGAAATGTTAGTTAAACCTTCCAAACATAATATCTTTTTCTCTCTTTCTTTACAAGACTGGATTATTTGGAATGCTAATAATGAAGCAGGCAGCAGCCATTCTAGAGGATTTCCCTGGAAGAAACTTTTTGCTCAAGCTTGCTGGAACATCTGGAAAATAAGATGCAAGGAAGTTTACTCTGAAGATAAAAATCTGGACAAAGACATTGCTTTCTTAAGCACTCAGCAAATCATAAGTGATGTTTAGCTTCAATCTAAGCTTAACCATCTGAGCAATTTCAATACCAGACATGAAGCTACTTGGAAGCCTCCAAATCTTGGATGGCTGAGACTTGATGTTGATGGTTCGTGCAAACATAATAGTGTTGCAGTATGTGGAGGAGGGACGACAAGGGTAACTGGATCAAAGGTTTTACTAAAAACTTTGGTTACCAACACACTACTACTACCAAGCTTATGGGGATTCTAAAAGGGCTAAACATTTGTTAAAATGTAAAGATTCTAAAAATCAATGTTTATTCTGATTCCATGGAGGCCATTTCACTCATTAATGGTAACTCGGTCCAAAATCATCCTCTATCGAAAATCATCAAAAGCATTAGAAATCTCATTATGAGGAGTTGGGAGGTTACTCTAGAACACGTCCACAGAGAGGCAAACCGTTGTGCTGATCTTCTGGCTCATAAGGTCTCTAGTGAACATTTTGATATTACTCTATTTGATGTTGCCCCAACAGATTGTAGAAGTATTATGTCTTCTGATATGACTTGACCTTGATCTTTTTGCGCGATATTTTTACCGTGGCCTTGTAATCAAAATAAAAACTTATTTAACAAAAATTGGTTTGGTAAAAATTCATTTAACAAGACTAATTGTTTTAGCGGTAAAATGAAACGAAAAGTAGTTAAATTTTTTTACAAACGATTTTAAAAGCCAAAGATTAAAATGAAAAATAACTTTCAAGAACTTTCTTTACATGTATTTTGAAAAATTTTTAAATGTACCTTCTCAAATGAGCTTTAAAAGATTTTTTAATAATCAAATAACCTTTAGCTTTTAAAATTCACAAAAGTCCTTTTCAAATGTCAAAAATAAGAAAACCAAGCAAACTCTTAATCACATTATTGCCATTGCAACAAAATAAATTGAAATATATCAACAAAACATTTATTCAGTGAGTAAATATTTGACCCTATCACTTATGAGGTCATGAATTCAATTTTTTTTTTTAATGTGAGGACATTGTTAGTAAGCAAATTTTAAGCACTCTTTAAATCCAGAAGTATGTACTAGCTCCATTAAATCTTCAGTCCAATTCCCCTGTTTTTTTTTTTTTGGGGCATCAAACAAAAAGTGAATTGAAAATACCCAAGTTAGGGACTTGAATGGTTAGCAGTGTACTTGAGAACCAAAATGGCTTGTTAAGTGGGGGATGACCGGATGAGGGATTCAAAAGAGACACAGATTTGAGCACAAAATATGCATGGGAATATATGTAGATATGCACAAAAAGTTAAGGCAGTTCATTAATGGCAGAGCACTGATGGTTCACGTTCATGTCAGACGCAGACAGAGACACAGATTCAGAAACACACAGACCCTCTTGAATTGCCTCTTCCATGGATCATGTCTCTCTTTACTCCTAATTTGCCCTCTCGTGAACTTTCTCCTTCTTCATTGCCCATCTCCAACTTTACTCTTTGCTCCTCTTTATGGCTTCCTAATCACGCTTCCTGCTATTCATTTCATTTTCGTGATTCTCTTTTTCAAAATCTTTAAACTCCGAATTCAATGTGCTTTTCTGCCAAGTATGATGCTAAATCCATCTACCAATGGCAACATGGGAACATTCCTTCGAATCGAGAGAGAGAGAGAGAGTACAACCCATTTGGTCGACATAAATGAACAATGCATGGGACAAAATGTTCAAAAACATAATCAGAAATCATAAAACTAGTCGTTGTCCGTTTAAATAAGATCACTGACTTCATAGTTGGTCTGTAAGTTGGGACTTACACTTGAATGGATTTAAGACTGTATAAAAAGTCTCGCATTGCATAAAGCTAAGATTAATAGCTAATATAAAATAAAGAAAAATGATTTGTAAATTGAACCTTAAAATTTTGACTTAAGATATGATATTTTTCTTCTAATCTTTCCCTTTTCTCTTCTTCACCAATTCCCGGGCGGTCTCAGATATGTTTTCGGCTTAATTGCTTAATTTCTATTGGACCTTGTCAAGCCAGTATGTTTTAGACACAGACAAATAATTCTGTCCCCAGCGAAGTAGCTGTGCGAAGCATCAAAACCGTGAACAAAATTATGATATGGTTCTGATTTTAATTGACCGATTCAATGCTTACTGATAGTGAAAGGTTATAATTGCTAGTCAAACACGCCTCTTTCAATTTAATTTCTCAAAAGGAAATTTCTAATATCACATAATAAGAATTATTAGCACTGGTTGTGATTCTATACTTGCCAAATACAATAACTCATGGAAAAAGAATACTTAACACATGAAGTTGAATGGGTATTATCATTTCATTAAATGCTGCCTCTCTCTCTCTGTGTATGTCTCTGTGATTCAGACTTTCTCTTTCACCAGAATGGTGAGAACGTCACAGTGAGACAGCCAACTCCCCAATCAGTTTGGCCCAAAATGCTGTCTTATATATCAGTACTGTAAGTATCAAACAAAAGATCGAGCTCTGATTTCATCCACATTCAAAATTCATAAATAGCCTTTCCTTCATTTACAGTTTCAGATAACAAATGTAGTTCATTTTGGGTTAACTCACCAAAACTTGTGAAACTTTGAAAAACAACTGTGGATCATGTGAAACGCATCAGATGTACCTCACTCCACATTTAAGACTGATCCTCGTTATTTGCATCTTCCTGTATATAATGAATAATCCTCAGATGGAATCATATCCTCCTCAAAGTACATACAGCTTTTTTCCAGCCTTCTTGTTCACTAGCTAGCTTGCTTGCTTCCTCGTTATTTCTCTGATGAAAACTGACCTCATAGTGCTTGAGTTTCTATAGTTTCTGCAGCTATGAACACTTGCTCACTTCCAATCCACAGATCTTTCCTTCTCATCATGGTCTTTTTGATGCTGCTCTCCATTGCTCGGAGTCTTAGGATGATTCCAAGTCAAAGTAAGTGTCTTTTAATTTGTTCTTCACTGTTATTGTTCCCCAAGACCATCACAGTTGTTAGTTCATGAATATTTATGTGAGCTTTTGCTCCTTCCTCTACCAGATGAGCTGGTCAGCTTGCAAGAACAGAAACCTGCAAATGCAGATAAGAAGGTCTGTTTGTTTCCCAACAGCTTCGTGATTTTACTGTTCATGAACTCATTTAGCTGCTACTGCATAGACAACTACTATACTGATATATATAAATATATACATAAGATTAAGAATGAGTAATGAAGTGGGTTGTTGTGCTTTGCAGGAAGAGTTGGGAATGGAGCTTTATCCGACAGGATCGACCTTACCAGATTGCTCGCATGCATGTGGGCCATGTTTTCCTTGCAAGAGGGTCATGGTGAGCTTCAAGTGCTCCTCCGCAGAGTCTTGCCCTATAGTTTACAGGTGTGTCTGCAGAGGCAAATACTACCATGTACCCTCCAATTGATCTTTCAAGCCCTTTTTTTTTTTTTTGGGTTCTGGGTTTCTTTATTCCTGCCAAGCCCAGGATTCTTTTTTTTTTTGTTTGTTATTAACTCTGAGATTTTAGCATTTTGATACCATTTGGATTTCTGTTATGATCTTGAAGAAGAGTGGGTAGTTATTAGGAGATTATCTTTAAGAGTTCGTATAGCATAGTGGGTTCTTTACCTCTTCCATATTATAATTGGATTTTGACAGTCCCATTTTGGACTATGAATGTGTGCATTATTAGTTGATTACATCATTGGCACAAGTTTTTGCATTTTGTCCATGTCAGACACCTGTTTGTTTATATCAAGCCTGTGTATGGTCTGATCCTATTTATAAAACATGTTCATTTATTTTTAATATAGAATTTTTATAGAAATTAATAAAACATTTATAACTAACATCTAAAAATATTTTTGTGGTTAGCTACAGTTTGAATCTAGTAAACCTTACAAGTTACAAAAAAAAAAAAAATGCCCTTGCCTCTTTGTAATAGTTTGTTCATCATCTTTTCCCAATAAACTATACTAATCAAATGGTAATTTGAAAAGTTGTAAAAATTTTAAATGTTTAATTAATTTTAACTAATTTCTTTAACTTCAGAAAAATAGTTAGCATAGTCTTGTGAAAAGGATAAGGAAGAATGTAGCACTTACGTAAGTTAAAGTTACTGACTCAAGAAACATTTGTAAGAAGCGACAGAGCGAGATTTATAAGCTTAGTATCAGGGGAGCAATTTGAATTACTTCAGGGTTATAATGAGCAGCCAGTAAAAGAAATAATAAAAAATTAATCTTTTAATCCTCTAACTTTTAAATCATTTGTAACTCAGTCCCTCAATTATGACTTACTATAATTCAGTCCCTCAACTATGACTCGCCTATGATTCAATCCCTTAACTTTTGAATCACTTACGAATTAGTCCCTTAACTTCTGCTAATTATTTTTATATTAACTTATATCTCACATTAATGAACAAGAGGAGGGTATTTTAAAATAATATATGAGCATTTTTTATCCCTCGTATTTGATAAGAAATTTTTTAAAAAAATAAAAAATAAGGATCAAATTATAGGTGAATTAAAAGTTGAGGGATTAAGTCGCAACGAGTTATAGTTGAGGGACTGAGTCGCAGCGAATTATAATTAAAGAATTGAGTTATAAAATAATTCCAAACTCAACAAAAACATAAATTTAATGGTGTCAAGAATAATAAAAATTATTAAGTTGGCTGATGGTAAGTATAACATGCGGGCCTAGTTGTACAAGTCCGGCCCAATTGAAGCACGGGCGCTGGTCCACTCTCTAATTATGCCCATTGTCTCTTTTCAATCCTATTACACTTGTAGAGGGTTAAAGGTAAATTTTGGTTTCAAAACACTAGTTGAAGTGCATCTAGTATCTTAAATTCTATTTTTAATCATTTTTTTCTTAAAGATTTAACCAGAAAAATTTTTCCTGTACCATTTACTTTGATCATGAATTCATTTTAAAATTAGTTCATTTTAAAATATTTAAGAAGGAAATAACTAAAATTTGAGTCCTTGACATCGACTAATGATTCAAGGATAAAAATAAACTTTGACCCCACTTATACATTAAATAATGTAATTTAAATTGGCTGATATTTTAAATTTGATACAAAAATGTCATAGAATTTAAAGTTATGCTTTATTGAAAACTAAGACTTTATCTGAAATGAGAGAAAATTAGAAAAGAAAACTAGTAAAATTGAAAACTACCATGAATGGTAAATAAAATGAGGATGAGAAAATACTGGTAGTAAAAAATTTAAAAATAATTTTTTTCACTATTTAAAAAGTCATAATATTTTCTCATCCTTATTTTTCTTCCCCATCGGAGAGAAGGGTGAGGTTTGTAAGATATATACAAAGGTTTGACAATCAATCTACTATTAACTTTTCTCTCCGTCCTGGAATGCAGGTCTCATTTCTAGCATATAAATATAAATCTCAACACAAATTTCTAGATATAATCAATGCATGTTTTGAGAAATATTTCTTCTAAAAAATCTAAATTATCTATCTCACCGTTGATAGTTTAAAAATGCATTATTTCTCACAACATTTAATTGAAGTAGGAAAGAAAAAGAAAAAGAAATTAATTTTCACAAAATCACATAGATTTAACATTTTTTATTTATATGTTTTTTTAGTTTTTTAAATTAGGACTTATACTATAGAAAGTAAATAATAAAAATAGTGCAAGGACTTTAAAATATTTTTTTAAAACCAACAGATATTGACTGAAGCAAAAAGAAATATGATCGCTGAAGTTATGTATTTGAGTTTATACAAATGTAAAAACCATTTATAAAAAATTTAATTTTAATGAAATTCAAAAATACACGTTCTATGCTGTCATAAGTGTTTGTGAGGGTGTTTGATGTTTATGGCTTTATAGTATGAGACAGGGAGGTAGCTGAGGGGAACAGGTTGGAGGAATTCCAAGTCAGAAAGGAGGGACGATGAATCAGAGAGAGATAAATGAGATGGCGCTGTCCTCTTTCTTCGTACCTCCGTACGATATCACGCCATCACGTCCTTGTCTCTGGGCCCCTTGTCTCTTCCTTTTGCGCCACACCATTGCATCATTAGTATTACAATAACAGTTTTTAAAATATATACTCTTTCAATTTACAAATCATCCTCACCAACCTCATTAAAATTAATCTAAAATTATATAAAAAATAAAAATATATAAAATTTTAAATATATCTTTATATAATAAATTTAAAAAATAATTTAATAATATTTTTTATCTTTCATGAAAGATAATTTTAAAAATATTTTTTAAATGTCATTTAAAAAGTCATACCATAATTTATAAATAAAATTAAATATATTTTTTAGAATGTATTTTATAAATGGAACTGAAGGAAGTAAGTACTAATTAAATTTTTTAAAATGTCATAATTTAAAAAAAAAATTAGATACCTTTCTAATGTCAATAATTTTAAATTAAATAATTAAATTGTTTCTTATTTAAAATAAAAATGATGAGTTCATGTAAAAAATTTATAATTTTTTTATTTAATTTTTGTGATTCATAAAATAAAAATTATAATTGCTCAAATAAAAATTGTAATAGGTTATTTTTAGAATTTTAACTTCAATGATAAAATAAATTTTATATAAAAAGTTATAATTTTTGTTTAATTCTCACAATTCACATGATAAAAATTATAATTATTTAAATAAAATTTATGTTTTTTTATTTTCAAAACTTTTACTTCAATAATTAAAAAAAATTTACATGAAAATTATAATTTTATTTAATTTTTGTAATTTACAAAATTAAATTGTGATTGTTTAAATAAAAATTGTGATTGAGACTATTTATTTTTAAAATTTTTTTATCAATCATAAAAGAATTTTAATGTGAAAATTTTTAATTTTTTATTCAATTTTTGTAATTCATATGATAAAAGTTGTAATTACTCAAATAAAAATTATAATTGTAAAAATAGAGCCAGACCTATTAATTTTATTTTAAATAAAGGATAAGTTTATCATTTAACCTAAAATTATTAATGTCATATAGATGGTTAGAAATTTTAGAAAAATGATAGCATTTTGAAAAACCTGATTGTCATTTATATATTTTAATAAAATTTTATTGTTATTTTTCCAATTACTTTCCCCCATATTTTCTCATTATTTTTTTATTTCATATTTTAATTAATTGACAATTGCATCATTTACCAATTTCTGTCACATTTATAACACTAGCTCTCTCCATTCACCAACTCGTAAAAATTATCCCAACAAATTAGTCTTTAAAATTTTATAAAAAAAATTTCACTCACGGACAATTAACTAGACTCCCCTTGACCAAAGTATATAACGTTGATAATTATTTTATGTTTCTGAAAAATATACTCTTATTAAATATTATATATAAATATTTTAAAAATAATAATTAAAATTTTAACATATTTTTTAAAAAAACAGTAATAAATAAAGTGGGAATATAATCGAAAAGACAATCATAAAAATTACCTAATGTTTTACTACTCCAATCCAACGATCGAAACTAACAAACTTCACGTTTATTAAGATATGTTGGTTATAATCTTGAAAGTGTCATACACACACATAACTTTTCCAGTTTTAATATTCTTTTGTGATTAATGATAGTAATATATCGTTGTTTAAGAATATAAATAGCAATGAATAAATAAAGGATAAAATTAAAAAAATATTAATTACTCAAACTTGGTCTAATATTTAGAAGGAAAAAAATTCGGGACTTCTTCTTATATTAAGAAAAGGGGAATGTATTTTAGATCAAGTGGAATTTTTACAAAAATATCTCGTATCATGATCCACAAGAAGTAATTGCTAACTTTAGCCAGTTCATCCCATTAACGCGTATGAAGGTGGCACGTGGCACCCCTACTCTTCAAAATGCACCAAGCAGCCCCAAACATTTTTCCTCATTCCGTAACTCCCAATCGAATATACATGAACGAGCACCCCAATATTTTCAAAGCACGCGTCCAAGCGTCAACGATCAACATGAACTCGTTCGGTGGGGACAACAACTGCTAAAAGAAAAAGGGATAAATTTGTAATTTCGGTGGACTAAAATATTGGCAGTGAAATCAAAAAAGTGATAATGTTCCATGCAAAAAGAAGAAAATAGTGATGTCAACTTGTGGACCTGATGAGTGTAAGGTGGAGAATATCTGCCGGGTAAGAGTGTTTGGGTTGAATTTAAATTGGAGAAAAGGAAATGGGCCGGCCACGTGGAGCCCAGTGGAAAGTGGCTCCTTTACATCAGGATAGCTTGCTTTTTGAGTCGACATTAACCAAAGATACATGATAAAGCAACAACTCGTGACCTCGTATTATATGATATTAATATTATAATAATAATATATTAATTTGTGGTAGTGGAAACTTGAAAAGCGATGAAAATGATCAAAACATGGGTGTCCATGTATAGAAGTCGGCCGAAGTAGAACCAGATAACTACGATATTGCCTTCCCCAACCCAAGAAAAGAAGAAGAATAAAGACCAAGATAGGATCAATTTCCCTTTCTGTAACTTGCAAGCCGGGCCAACCTTTTTGCATCAATTTGTAGCCTCTCCTGGTTGCTTGCATTCTCTCTCTTGATCAAGATATAGACCATTTTATATAAGTCCTGACTTGGCCAAAAATACAGGATATTATCTTATTATATTATATTTAAGTAATTAATGATGGTATTTTGAATAAATCAAACATTATGTATATTCTATTCTGGATAGTTGTCAATTATCAATTTTTCTTATACTTGGTGATTTATAAGGTAATTGGAAAGAGTATGTTTGAGATGATTGCTTTAAGACAGTCTTCTTCCATTTTTTCTACTTTTTCTCTAATTTTATATTTTTTACATGATTATCTAATATTTCTATTATTCAGATTTTTTGTTAGTTTATTGAAATGGATCTTCTAACATACTGTGTGTATATATGCGTACGACGCACCCATAGTTTTGCTCTTTTTAACGTGTTTGGATGGGGTCTTCAACGATCAACCCCTCATCCATCACATGGCATGAATAGTCTCATAACTCCACCACGTCCCAATCACTTCCAATGATTACATGACATGCGTACGAATGTGTTGATCTCATATATAAAATAAACTGTAAGTATTTATTATATATATGTTAATAATCTGGCTGCCAAATCAAATTTTTACATTATCAAGTTTAATTAAGTAAAATTCTCAATATTTTTTTATTTATAAGATAATTTTATTTACAAGTTTTGAATTTTGAACTCTCAACCCGATTTTAAAGAATCAAGTCATGACTTTTTTTTTCCCCCAATCAGGCCACCATTAGTGAGTCCAAGCAAGCTATATCCATTATAAAAAAAAACAACATCAATGAATTTGGAAAAAAAATTAAATGAGTTTATAACTGTAAGAATAAACAAGAGGTGACACTGTATTTGAATTGAATATCTTGTACGAAAATAGATTAAAAATATATTTTGAAAATATAAAAATTAGAGAGGAGTTGGAAGCAATGATTGAAGCAGGACACGGTGATTCGCGGTGCCGCGTATAGAGCGTCGCATCGTGGATCTTACCACATGCCAAGTCATGTGTCAGGCCAGCTCGCATCTCTTTTCTTTCTTTATTCCTTTTTTCTTCGTACTTTTAATATATCCAGCGAATTATAATTATAATGTTTTCATTTTTATTATTATTTACATGTATCTTCTTATTAAAAGTAATTATATTCAAGTAAAAAGATGAAATGTTTAATGTAAAATTGTAAACTTGGCTTGTCATGATCATAATGTGGGAAGATAACTCTTTCTATTAAACCCAATGCCTGTTGTTTATAATTTTTGAATTTTTGAGAAAAATAATTAATATAAATTATACAGTTGTATCTTCATCCTTTGGCGGTTGTTCGCTTCGAACTACTATAATATAATATAATTATGATTTTTATAATATTTTAAATCTTAAAAAATGAATAAAAGAAAGAGCGAAGCGAAATAAAAGAAGACTGAAGACATGGCTAAGGTGCGACGAACGGATCAAGCAGGAAATCAAAATCCCACGCCGCACAAATTGGATGCATGCCATGGACGTGTGAGATGAGTTGTTTTAGCTTTTACTTTTTTTTTTTCAATTCCAAATCATATCTGTATTTTCTTAATATCTTTAATATTTAATTTAGATCAAGATGATGCAAACCATATTTAAACAAGGTACAAAATAAATTAGGAAGAATGACAATTCAAGACCCAGAAGGTTAATATTAATTTAGAAGTTTTAATTTTTTTTTTAGCATTAAGACATGGGAAAATGATCATTGACTTTGGAGACCTGGATTATGATTATATCTTACTAATTTTTAGCATTAAATTATAACTTGTTTCCAACATTGGTAGTCCAATAATCACCCGGTAATCAATCAAAGTGGCTGGTTAAAATAATATTTTCATGTTTTATAAGGATAAACAGCATTATTTTATAGGAATTAATTCATAATTTAAGGAATTTAACCTGTATTGATTTTCTTACAAGGTTCTTATAATTTCTGGATCCTTTTTATAATTTTTTAGATTATTCTTTTTAATTTTTTGATTAACTAACGATTAAATTAAAAAATATTTAAAGGAGGGATGACATTGTTTCCTTTTTTATTATATGAAAGACAATATTACACTACTCTTAATTTCAGTATGCCTAACTTAAAAAAAATGTTAAAAAAAAATCAGCTAACATAAAATATATGCTCTGGGAACTTTAAATTCCCAGACTTCCGTTAATGATTACACACATGAGGATAATATATTTAAAATGATAAAAAATCGTAGTACCGTATTTGATGTTTTAAATTGTGTTGTTCTCTACTCATAAAACATTTTTAATAAAGATTCTATATTTCAAAATATAAAATATTTTAATAAAAATATAATATTTTATTAATGATATTCTTGTAATTTTACCTTTTCTGTTATATCCTTTATTTTTTAATATTATTTTACAAATAAAATATTGTGTTCTATATACATCTTCAAACATCATTTGTTGTTCAATTTTTATTGCCTTCATGTTTTCTCTATCATTATAATTTCCTAAAAGAAGTTACCTAAAATAATAGAAACAATCATGAGATCTTTTAAAGTTTAAAATTAAGGAAGATTCTTTGTAAAAATTGCCAATAAATTTTTTTTTTTAAGGTTAACTTCAGCTAGAGCGCATTTTTTTATATTCAAACTCAAAATATTTACAATTAAACTAATTCATTAAAGAACTTATAGAAAAATGTGCTGAATTGACGTCAATTTTAATAGGTCAACAAAGACATAAAAAATTAAAAAAAAAAACAAGAGCATAATGACTTGTAACACTGAAAAGAGTACAATAATCTATATCAAAACTTGAGTGAAGTAAAGAGATTCAAAGTTATTTTTTTCTTATTTTTAATATAATCAGCTATTAAAGTTTGTGATAAATTTTTATGATTATAATTATTTTTATTATTTTAATTAAATTTATTAAATTAAAATGAATTGTTTCTGTCATAAAGAGGAAAAAACAAACACCATACTATGAGGATAGTCTCCTAATTTTAAAGACAAAGTTCGATCATATTCAACTTCAAGTAAACTTATACTAGACTATACTTTAAATTGTCTAACCTAATTACTTTATAAAAAGAGATCAAATTTTGAGTTTGATCAAAATTCTATCCTGCCCCTCCTTCTCACACCAATATATCACACATCAAAGAGATCAAATTTTGAGTTTGATCAAAATTCTATCCTGCCCCTCCTTCTCACACCAATATATCACACATCAATATATACGCACATGGTGATTTACTAGCTCCCATATTCTCCGGATCAAACAAGTGACCTTTTGTCGTCAGAATTTCATTCCGCTACGGCAATCGTACTTACTTATAGCTCACCATGACAATTTTTTTAAAATGAATAATATTTATTTTTTTCCAAAGTAATAATGGCTCCCCATGTGAAAAACAAGGGTGTAATTATAATCAGAAATTAAATTGGAAACAATAATTATAAATTAAAAAGTGAAAAAGCACATTCCGTTCACATCTCTCCCTGTGATTGCGCTTTCGGCCTTTCACGTTTGGCAGACAATCGTTTAAAACTAATGTTTGACTACATTTCTAACAACATTATTTTTAATAGAAATATATTTACAAACAATTAAAAAGTAATGGTTTAGAAATTATAATCTCCATATTGAAATTACTTTTATACACAAATATATTAAACTACTAAATTTTAATTATAAAAAATTGATTGCAAATAAAAAAAACAAGATTATGTAAAGGAATGCACGTCTCTTTGAGGAAAACCAAATTTAATTTATTTCTGACTTTAACGGCTCACCCCAATCGATGGGATATTGAGGCGATTTGTTTAACTATTTGGGTTTATTTTGAGCATTGTTATCAGGCTATTAGTATTTTTTTAACCGACATAACCAACTGAAACAAGCCTTGTTATCCGCTCACATGTTCTACAAGTCCCTGTACTAGAAAATAATTATTCTATTAATAGCGCTCAATGTAGAATAAGATTTAATTGTTTTCAAGTAATGAAAATTGAGATCTTGAACCTTATAAATGAAAAGTAATTTAATTTCACTGGTTATATTCATATTCTCAAGCACTTTTCTTCAACCTCTCACATTCAGTTTTCCTATAACAAATGTAGCATCGGGCGACATAAGAAATAAACTCAGACAATCCGTACATATAAAAAGTGGACGAATTTTTTGAACCGTTCTCTTTGAACCTGTTGGTTGGTAACATGTCCCTTAGTGGCTCCCTATTAAAACCCGATTTAATCCTAAAATAAATATGATTTGGAAACAGCACCAAACATTCACTTCTCACCTAAACCGCTCAAACCAGACCTGTGTTAAGGCCAAAAAAAAAAAAAAAAAAACGCGCACACACAAAGAAAGCAAAATAAATAAATACCAGATTTTGTTGGCAGAAAAAGAAAAACTAATAAATACTAGAGTTATAAATATACAATTAAATAACCATCTTTACCTTTTATTATTTTTCTCTCTCTCTATAGTACCTGCCAAGTACGCTCACCTGTACCTGGCCTCCCAAACTTCTATCATCATCACCTTTCCATTGTCTACACTGCTGAATTTACCCTTTACCCTTCCCTCTGTCTATATATTAATATTCCCACCCAACCCAACTCAATCGCACACAGTCTCTTTCTCCAACTTCATAGCTTTCTCTCTCCACTGCTAAGACACGATGAAGCATTTGATTCGCAGGCTTGCTCGAGTCGCCGACTCGTCTCAGTACACTCTGCTCAGATCTGATTCGCAGAGTCGTCGCCCGCGCCGAGTGCTGGCTGCCGCTGGGAGGAATCGGAGGCATCGCTCTAGGACGGCGTCGGCGTCGGAAGGTCACGTCCCGATCTACGTTGGCGACGAGATGCGGAGATTCGAGGTGGACGCGGAGCTGCTGAACCACCCGATCTTCGTGAAGCTTCTGAACAAATCGGCTCAGGAGTACGGATACGAGCAGAAAGGCGTGCTTAGAATTCCCTGCCGCGTCCTAGTCTTCGAGCGCGTCCTCGAAGCTCTTCGTCTTGGACTCGACGCGCGTGACCTCCACGACCTCCTCTGCTCCTCGTCTGAAGAGTTTTGCTAGGAATGAATGAAGAAAAAGTAAGTTGAAGGAAACTAGGGAGGTTGATGAAGCTGCACACAGTATGTTAGTGAAGATCATTTTCTGTAAATATACCTTATAACCTTGAAAGGAGCACAGAAAATTTAGGTGTTTGTTAATTGTGAAGTTCCCTTTTTCTTCTTGTTGCTCAGTGTAAATGCGAAGATGTAACCAATTCGCTACTGGAAAAGCAACTAAGAAATGAGAGTCTCTTGTTTGCTTTTTTGCATCTGTCTCCTCCTTCCATTTTTGTTTCTCGGGAAACAAACGGAAGAGTGAAACTGAAAATTAATGTACTGTACCCAAAAAAAGTAAAAAAGAGCTCCGCTTCATGCAGTTCAGTTTCATTTTATTCAGAAGAGCTTGCCGTTTCCAGATCAGACGATTCAGTTGATCTGCTAATTTCTTGACAAAGAAAACTACAGCGGTAAATTTCGTGGAAAGTAAAACTAAAAAGACATTGAATATTTTATACATGTTTTATGAAATAAAAATAATGGGTTTCAAAAAAATTGAAACTGAAATGAAATTTGGGAAATTACGAGAATGGGAAGAATGCCCGAAGGAAGAAACACGGAACAATGGAACATAACGTAAATGATTGCTCATTGCTGGTTGCGTGGATAAACAGTAATGATTAAGCCAAGGACGTTGGCCGGTCAGCAGTGTAATTTCCGTGACATGAGGATAGGAGCGTCATTTCGTGTTTTTGGGACGAGGACTGTTTCGTCAAATCAAGAGGCCTATTATCATTCGTCACCTTTGCATTTTATAAAGATTAAAGAGATAGTGACGGGACATACATGCCATTGGCCGAAATAAAAAAAGAGAAAGTATGTGATGTCACCCGATGGTCTCTTACAGAGGCATGGATTTGGACCGTGAAGACTGAAGATGATCTAAGCTCTCTTTTTTACCAATGAATGTGCTTTAAATCTAATCTCTGCTTCATTGCGTTATTCTTACGCTACTAATTAATTAATTTTATATTACAATTTACTATTATCAATCAATATAAGTTGATTAGAACATGACGCATATATTATTTAATTGGATATCTAGACGTTATACTATGCACGTGAGTAGCTGGTCTTGTACTATGCTGTTTATTTTGTTTTCATTCATAAATTGCCTCCATTTGGGAGTTCTCATCAAAATTTATTTTAGCTACGATCTCTTAGAATCATTGCTAACACATGTTTCTTGGTTGTTGTTTCTGTTAGTGGGCAAAGATGAAGCTTGAGACTTGAGAGTATGCAAGTGATAAATTTATGTTTCATCCGGTTTTAAATATACTCCCTTCAATTTTATTTTTAATACTTATTAAATTTTTAAAAAGGGTTAATAAGTTTTAAAATCCTCTTTAATTTTAATTAAACATGTTGAAAATAACTTATAAATAAAATCAATAATATAACATATTTTACCAGTTAATATGGGTTCAAAATGTATGATATTTTCCAAAAAAAAAAAACAAAATGTTATTGTTAAATTCTTTTTTTCACAAATTTCCCTCTATTAATGACATCAAATTTAATTTGATTAAGATATACTATTGGTTTTAATTAGAGGGCAGCCTTGGAGAGTACTATAGAGATACACATTTACCATTTTAATGAAAGAAGCCGCTTTTAATTATTTTTCTTAATTTTTGTTACGCAGTTAAAAGTGTTATGTACTTAAGGCAGGATCGAAAACCTACCCAGAAGAATCCAATAATGTCTAGGATTGGGTTTACATGAAACAAGTGAAGGTGGTGGCCATAATATGGGCCACCTAATTTGCAATTAATAATTAACAAGGAGGATGAATTCTTTGAGCAAATAATATACATTTTGAAATTAGGTTAGACGTAGGTGTGACTCTTGAACACTCCATCATTCCCAACTTCACTCAGCACAAAACCCACAAATTATGTATTACTTCACGGAATGGGAACCACATAGCACCATTATTATCAATGCCTTCCAAGAATGTTATATCAAAAATGTATCACCCTATGCTTGCTTTAATCAATTTTCCTATATATATTCGTCACCATGCCTCTTGTTTCCTCCTAATTTGTTGCTTATTTTATTTTATTTTATTTATTTATTGATCTTTAGTTTCAGTTTAGTTAATCTCTTTATATTCATGTACATGCTAATTACTTTCATTAAATAAACTCGAATGATAAAATTAAATTAAAATTAAAATTTCAACACTAAATTGAAATAAAATAAACTAAATAAATGAACTAACACGCGCGCGCACAAAATTGGAATTGAAGTTGAAATTTTCAAATTAAACTAAAGAACTGGAAGGTTACTTTTGCATGTATAAATATATTGTGATATCTCAATGAATATATAAACCAAAATTTCCTTTATTTTATATAAACTAAATTCTAAAATTTAATGGTTAGCCTATGAACTGATATATATATAAATATATATAAAAGAAAAAAATGTTAAAAATAATGAATTAAAGAAAGACTTTTTAAGGGTTCCAGCTTTTATAATCAAAGAATGTGTATTTTTTAACTGTTCAAGCTGTTTATAACCAGGATAAGGATGAGGAGTGATTAGTGAAGCACTAATTTTAGTGCTTTCCTAATTTTAACTTTAAATTAAATATGATTAATAAATTGATCATAATTTATGAAGAGGGCTTGAATGGTGCTGCCGGACATGGCGTGAAGATGGGAAGTTCTCTTCTATCCACAATTATTTATGCTGGCTAGAATCATTAATTATAATTTATGAACTTATTAATGAATAAGCTAAACATCTCACCTAAACATAATTATGGTTTTACTATTTCTGGTCAACCTTTTTGGTATCGGTCTTAATTTACATGGACGAAATTTTTATGACAAGTTCAAATGGTTTGGTATGTCTACGAGCCTATGACTATGTGATATCCCCCCCCCCCCCCCTTAACTTAATCTACTTTTGCGATTAGGTTTACCCAAAGAAAAAGAACTGACAAGGATATTGGAATATACATGCACATGACAAACTCATGAAATATATTATTTTAATTTGCATTTTTGTTCACTTTTTATATGTAAGGTCACATTTTTGTTTTGAGTTACGGTGTTTGAGTCACATGATTTATACTTGTTCGGTAATATCACCCGTGGGCTCCACTTTTTAATTAATCTTTTCCTTAATCAACACTTGAGCTATTTTTAATTGCACGTAGTGGGCAGTTTGAAATTATCAGTGTTTAGTTTATTTATTTTGGTTCAAACCATCTTAAAAATTTATTCCCGTGTCAATTAATACAACGAATAAAAGCTACTTTATAAGAGCTTGCAGATTGAAAAACAACTTTTATAAGGCGAAAGTTTGAACTTACTTAGATTGATCACGATATTATTCTCCCCAGACGATGACGTATTTAACCATCTAATTAATAATTATACATGTCAAGCACTAAACAGAAAACTAATAACATCTTTGAATACATATATACAACATATAAAAATACAGTGGTGAGAAAACTATTCACAAGCATGCAGGATATATAATACCTCGTCTCAATTTTTATACAAATAGTTATAGGTTATATTTTAATTTTCAAATAATTTTTTAGAGAATTATTTTTCAAAAAAATTTATGCAACGTAGTATCAAAATTGAGAAAAATAAAATTACTATTAAATTTTTAAAAATTATTATCCAAAAACACTTAACATCGAAATTTTTGAATCCAAAAGAGTGAGTGTCGCCCAAAAAATAAATCTAAAGATTAAGCAGTAAAAGTATAAATTATTACCTTAACACATATTAATTCTAATTTATTTAATTATATCTAAAACTTTGATTTATGAGATATTTAAGCAGTATTAATAAAAATTATGAGTATTTATTTGCCATTGTCTTCCAATTTTACCTCTCTTTTTTATTTTTTTCACAAACAGAGTAAGATGTTTTTAAATATGGTGTATTTAATGTAAACCGGGAAATTTATTTCTTTTATAAAAAAAATCAATAATTTAACTATCTCTTATTAATTTTGGTAAAATAATTATAAGTAATTTATATATTAGATGAGAAGAAATACAATATAAAACATGTATATATGCATCACTGAGATCGTCTTAATTAAAGATGACTTATTCTACAATCATACATTGTTTCTATTAAAATAACTTTGGCTACTTAAGCACAAAACATCAAATCTAAATCCATGTAAATGCAAAAAAATATATTTGATAGAGTTACTCTTAATTAGGTTCGACAGTGTTCAAATATAACTTAATCATATACATACACAAAGATGAATTATTCTCCTAGGAAGGCAAACATATACATAGCAAATCAGGAATAAAACTTTAATTTAGAATATACATGGAGTTGCTTTTGGGAGATAAAAATAGCCAAAAAATAAAGAGGATAAGCGAAAATTTTGAAAAGATGAATGCAAGAGCAGAAAGGTGTTTTGATTTGGATGGCAGGTGAACGGATTTGAAGGGATCTAAGCCTGAAAGCCCTCACGGGACAATTCAGTATTAGGACTCCAACATTTGTTCATGTCTCTTGTATTCTTCTTCCTCGGATCCCACCACTGCTCATCCGTTTCCTTCATTTTCAAACCCAACTTCAATTATTTTTCCAAGAAAACGGCACTTGTGTAAAGGTCAGTTTAATTAGAGAAGATGGTGTCGGATTTTTTTTTAAAAAAAATAAGTTGCAAATATGAAAAATTTCTTATCTACAAAATCACTGAAAATGATTTTAGTCCTTCCGCACATTTAATATGCCCTAAATTCTAAGGCACGCCAATTAATTAACTATAGCCTATAAAATCATGGTACAAAAAATGATCAATATTATTAATTATAATCAAAGTGGATTAATTAAGCTCACTTTTGTTGAAATGATAAGAATGTTCAACCTTTTGGCTTAATGTCTGTTAGTTTCCCTAATGAGTAATCATTAACATATATTATTATATATTATATACTTCAATATTTATAGTCGGAAAAGAAAAACTGCTAGTCCATTTGGTGTTGGCTTGCATTCCTATGCGAAACGGCTCCCCAGTCAAAAGACTGCCTCAAAAGTCTCTGATCTTGACCCAAGAAAGCAACTGTCGCATAACAAAGTTGTCTCATTGAGAAAATATAAGCTTAAGAAGCAATTAATTTAAGGTCTTGGTCACAAATAATGTCCTTGAAGATGGACTGAACAAAACGGTTGATAATATATGCTAATCCTTGGGCATCATCTAGAAGCGTCGATGGACCAAAAAAAAAAAAGATTAAAAAAATTCCTGATTATTAAATCAAATCAAAAGACGCTGGTAACGTTGTTCCGTAAAGCAATTTTGTGTTATTAGTTGCATGTA